ATCTTTCTTTCTTTCTTTCTTTCTTTCCTTTCTTTCTTTCTTTCTTTATTTCTTTCTTTCTTTCTTTCTTTTTCCTTCTTTCTTTCTTTCTATCTTTCTTTCTTTCTTTCTTTCTTCTTTCTTTCTTTCTTTCTTTCTTTATTTCTTTATTTCTTTCTTCTTTCTTTCCTTCTTCCTTTCTTTCTTTCTTTCTTTTCTTTCTTTCTTTCTTTCTTTCTTCATATTTGCATTCTCGTCCGCTTCTTTGGGATTTTTTTCCTGCCTTTCTAACTTCCTATTTCAATCCTTTACCCTTTACATCTTGTCTGTCCTTTCGTATTTCCTGTTTTCTTTTTTTTCTTCTTTTTTTTCATTAAAACTTATCTTTTATTTTCTCTCCCAAAAACTCATTCACTGACCTTTTCTTTTTTTTTAACCCCCTACTATTTTACTTACATTATTCTATATCTTTAACGTTTTCGACCATATCACGTTGAAACACCGGTTCTCGTACGCCCGCCTGAGTTAAGCAGCTCCCCTAGACCTTTAAGTCAGTTCCTAGATAAGTGACCGCTTGGAGATACCAGGTGCTGTAAGTTTGGATGCGCGGCTGGTGTAATAGAAAACAGCTCAGAATTGGGAATTGGAGGGTTCCATTCCAATTGGTTTCGTTATAATAACTTACATTCAAATACCCTTGGGTAAAGGTAGGAATCCACCTCATCTCGTCCCCCAACTATGGGTTAATTAATAGAGCTTGTATCACTGAACCATTATTATCTCCAAAAGATTCTTACAACCTTAAAATATTTTCTGGCTTTAAATAAATTAAAAAAAGGTTGATAAGCTGTAAAAAATCAATTGATCTACTAGTTTTATTTCATTCTTTCTTTGTTTTTTCTTTTTCAGTTGTTTTTTTCTCTTTATTTTTTTTTTTTATTTTTAGCTTTTTAGTTTTCTTTCATTTTTTTTTCCTTCGTTTGTTCTGCAAATATTTTAATTATTATCTGTTTTGCGTTTTATTTCGTCATTTTTATTGTCTTGCCATTCCAATCCATCTTCGGATCTCAGCGTCGCGCTTTCCGTCCTCCGTCAGAACACTTCCCAGATATTTAAACTTCCGCGCCTGATTGATTTTAGGGTCTTCGACCTTCAAATCGCATTTCCCTTTACTGATGACCACGTATTCTGTCTTCTTGTAGTTTATGCCAAGTTCCATCTTCTCTCTCTCCTTCGTTACCTTCTGTAGGAGCTTAGGTGACAGAAAAGGAATTAGTAAACACAAAATTTACTAAGAGCTACAAAGGACAGGAACTTGTGAAGAGCCATGATCGTCAATGTTCTGAAGAGACACGGCAAAGAAAAGAAAAAGAGAATTTATTCGGATATAGGAAGATTCGCTTGTGCTAATCTATTCGAAATCCTCATTCTTCGAAAAATTATTACAGGCGTAATAAATAGAGGAAGAAATCAGGAAGCTGGCCTCTCATATCTGAGAATGTCTCCCTACTCGAGCGGCTAGCGAATCCCTATTGCTGACTCAAGCACATTTGTGTATGTTGAACATACGCAGAGGCCAACTGTGTTTGATACTGCAACTATGTAGAGCGAACCTTAGTTTATGGGAGAGAGCACATCATCTGACCTGATCAATAGCCTGAACGAGGCCAGTGCGATCAAAACCCTCGGTCACGATGACTAGTATCATCGACGGCTTCCAGACAGTTCCAGCTACACAATTTCGCTCAGAAGCATGGTTTTCAAGCACTTTCCAGAGATGCCACACGCTGGGACCCAGTCCGATAACGTCAAGGAGTCACCTGTATTTTAAAAACTAATTTATTGATTGGAAAGATTGGGGGGGGGGCTAAAATAGTTGATTAGCGCCCATTACAGTCGTGTTTCATAACAATTTAATTCTCTTTATTAAAAAATCTTCAAAAATTAAATATACTTTCCTGAAACATTATTTGAGGAAGTATAATTAACAATTTGAAACAAATATTATTTATTTTAAGTTTAAAACATCGCAGAAAGGCATTCTTTAATTAGACAGATGTTGTGATTTTAACCAGACAGTAGCAATGTTGACGTGTTTGACAAGGTGATGAAAGATCTAATGTTGTTCTACGGAGACTTTATTTGTAAAATATAATTGAAGAAAATGACATGAGAGTCTTTTTTTATTTAATTTTTAAGTACTCAGTAATGTCAAGAATTTAGGAAAATATTCTCTGTAATCTAATGTTTTATTGAATTTTAGAAATTTGGACTTTAAATTTACTATAGTCATCGCTCTTATTTTCTGATAATGTCGTGTATGGTGTTCCGTACTTACAAAAACGGCATGTTTATACGCTAATAAAAAAACATTCAAAATTATTTTTAAAATATTGGTCTTTGCTCATTTGTATTAAGCTTTTCCATTAATGATTAGTAAATATAATTTTCACTTAATAATATCATCAAAATCGCTGGAATTAATATAGAATTTTAAAAGATTTAAAGCTTAATAAATTTTTTCTAATTATTTTTGTAATTCATTATTCAGCGTAAAAGTTTTTTTTCTTAAGACAATTTTGTCCTTATTTATATAAAAAAATAAAAGCTTTTCTAATTATAACGTTATAGTTTTATTGCATTTGTTTTTTTTATGATTCAGAGCGGATTTTCGTTAAATTGTGTTTCTGTTTGATAAAACAAACTGTTGATTTAAATTCTCCAAGGAGTCCTGCATTTAACATATATAAATATAAAGATCTTGGAATTTTAATTACTCGAAATTTCATAAAATTAAGTAAATGATGTAAAGAAAACGCATTTTTTACCAAGATTTTCTAAACTAAAATATTTCAAAAATGATTCCATTCATTTCTGAAGATGTTCTGAAAATCAAATTAAAATCCGAGAATTATTCGATTTTTGCAAGAATTTTCGAAACAATGTGTTTTTTACCGCTACATTTCTCATGGGAATGCTGACGAAAAAAAAAGATTTTTAACGAAAATTTCTAATGTGCTAGAAAGGATTATATAATAATAAAATAATTCAAAAATAATTTGGTATTTCCTCTTAATAATAGCATAAATATTTTGACGATAAACCTTTGTTTTAATCCCGTTTGAGGCTTTTATCATCATGCTACTATACACACACAAACACATATATATATATATATATATATGTGTGTATATATATATATATATATATATATATATATATATATATATATATATATATATATGCATATATAAATATATATATATATACATACACACATATATATATGTGTGTGTGTTTTCCGACACGAACTCAGTCTATACTGGGGTTGAATAAGACTGATGAATTTCGTCGGCTGAAACAAGCCTATTTCGCATATGAGGTAATTTTGTATTTTATAGTGTACTAATTTCTCTGTAATAATATAAATACATTGAGCTCTTTTGTGGATCAGTTTTAATATCATATTACTTGGATCCACTTGGATTATATACCAACGGATTTACCTTTATATATTTATATATATATATATATATATATATATATATATATATATATATATATATATATATATATATATATTGTATTTACTATTAAAAGCGACAGATATTTTGTGTCGATTAATCTAAGGCCTTACACATGGTGTGGCATTGAAGACCGCTACGAAATCTCTCCATGGAATCTCTGGAAGGGTTCTATTAAATATCATGTCCTTCCTAACAAGTAAGTCCCGGAGGGTCTTTGTTAACGGCTAGCCATTGGAAGAACCTTAAGATCAATTCTGATGTCCCATATTTTTTTCTCCTCGATTCTAACGTCTTTTTATTGTATATTAATGATCTGCCTAAGGCCATACTCTGATCATTAGTAAGTATCAATGCATATGATATAACAGTTTACATGTGCACTTCTAAAAATATGGAAGATCAGAACCTAGCAACTCATCTCTCCTTTGCGCTAATCCAGGTGGCTCAATGGAGAAGAACTGGCTTGTAAAATTCAATACAGCTAAAACCAAACTTTCACGTATCATGATAGGTGGGATTTTTCTCAAGGAGACTTATTGCCCTGAACGTTTATTAATCTGCAAAGTTGTCAGTCAAGTCGCTGGGTAAGGATCATGATAACAACAAGAAAAGGCAAGTAAAAGACGAGGTCTGTTCAGCTTTTCGAATCTATAATCAACAAGAGGTTTGTTGCATACCTCAACATGAACAACCAAGTGTGTGATAACCAGGAATGGATTTCGACCTGTAGATCCACAGTTGATGTCTTAACAATCATTACACACAAAATCAAACAAATACTAGTTAATAAATTCATCACGAGAACCATTGTCCTAGACATATCCAAGGCCTTTGACAAGGTGAGATACCGTTGGATGCTACATAAGATCTCCAGTTATAGAATGTCTGGAAGAGATATCTCATCTATCAAGTTCTTCTTAACATTGGCTCATTGGAAGAAGGACTGGCTTGTAAAATTCAATATGGCCAAAACCAAATTTAGTAATTTTCCAATACCACTGTATAGAACCTGAACTTTCATGTATCAGGATGGATGAATGTTATCTCAAGGAGACGCTTTTGTCTTGAACGTCTATCTTTAGTTCCCCCCCCACTCGACCTTTACAACTGGAACCCGCCGATCTGCGCACAAAAGGGCGAATCATAACCGTTTCCTTCGTATTCGTATAATAAAAAAAGTCTGTTCCATTCGGACAGCTTTTTCCCAAGAAGTGCTGGTTTCCGGAACAGACTCCAGGTAGGATGTTTCCCCAATTTCTACAATCTTGACCTCTTCAAGTCTAAGGTTAACCGTTAATTTCCTTTTCTCGCCCCATGAACTGCATTTCTTGCCTTTTTTTACGCTCATACAACACCACCCAGTAACCTCTAGATTAAGTGACTCTTGAGCCTTGTACTGAGGGAATATTAGTATTAAAAAAAACACATACGTTGTAGATAATGCTGCCACGTTAGTTTTTTTTTTTTAATTTCGGTCGATGAAAAGTTTGAAAATTAACCGCAGATTCTGTTGTGGTAATGCCAACAAGATTGACAACAAACGAACTTCTTTATATTGAATGAAAGAAAGAAAGAAAGAAAGAAAGAAAGAAAGGAGTACAAGGTTGACAAAGAAAGAGACACGGTGAAGGCATACAAAAAAAGAAAGAAAGAAAAAAGGAAGAAAGGAGAAAAAGGATGACAACGAAGAAAAGAATTACAGGGTTTAGAAAGAAAGAAAGAAAGAAAGAGAGAAAGAAAGAAAGAAAGAAAGAAAGAAAGAAAGAAAGAAAGAAAGAGTAGAAAACTGACAAAGAAAGAGTAGAAGGCTAAGAAAGAAGGAAAGAAGGACTGGTGTAAAAAGCTGAGAAAGAAAGAAAGAAAGAAAGAAAGAAAGAAAGAAAGAAAGAAAGAAAGAAAGAAAGAAAGAAAGAAATAAAGAAAGAAAGAAAGAAAGAAACGAGTAGAAAACTGACAAAGAAAGAGTAGAAGGCTAAGGAAGAAGGAAAGAAAGACTGGCGTAAAAGGATAAGAAAGAAAGAAAGAAAGAAAGAAAGAAAGAAAGAAAGAAAGAAAGAACAACTCTAAAATGTGAAAGATATAACAGAAATATGGAATGAATGAATGAGATGCTATTATTAGGAAAAAAGAAAGACAGATTCTAATAAAATGAAAAAGAAAGAAAGCCTATTGTACTGGGGAAAATAAAAGCGAAAGAATAGCAACTATTAATTTGAAAGTGAACGTCATGAAGGCCAAGACGTGTAAAGAGAAACAAATACACTTCGAAATAAATGAGAATAAAAAGAAAGATAAAATACATTCTCATAGAGTCACGCCATCTTTTTTCTCATCCCCACTAACATGACATATTTTGATGAGATTTCTTCATATTATCATATGCAAATGAAATAAACCGAGCGATAAGTTCACAAATCATATGGAAAGAGGAGCGGGCAAGTCCTCCATACTTTCAGTTCTTGAGACAAACATTCTATCTCAATGAAATCATAATTACTGGAATAATTAAAAACGAGCTAATCCTATCAATGGCGAACAGTACTTTGTTGATCTGACTCTCCACGACATTTCTGTCCCATTCTGTCTATCGTAACGAAGATAACCGGAAGATAAGACCGCAGTAAATGTCATTTCGCTGCTGATAACGTCCGCCTCAACCTGTCGACGATTTCTATTTTGAAATGAAGCATTCGCATTTTTTCCTAGCCATGATAAAATTTCCGGCCTTCATTTTTATTTTCGCAATAAGGAATTATGTAAATCTGATATATATATATATATATATATATATATATATATATATATATATATATATATGCAAAAATGGTTTCCAGATTTTAATTGGCGTTTCTGTGGTGGTATGCATTTAAAATAATTCACGATTGTTTCGAATTTTACTATCAATGATAAATCTTTTCTTTTCTCGTGCCTAAGTATTGTACCCATATGTACAATGTACTGGATTCCTTCTCAACGTGAACGTTCATGGCTCTCCACAACTTCCTCTCGTTTGTAATTGTAAAGAATGTTTGTCTATTACTATCCCTCTCGGTATTTGTTCTGTCATCCATTTACACAAGCTCGTTAGGTTATTCCGTTTTCCCTCTGTCGCTTCAGATCATTACTCTCCTTTTCCTCTCCTTTGTAAATCTAAGCAATCTTTGTACCTTTCGAATCTCTGTTCTGTCAGCCATTTGCACAAGCTCATTAATCGCTGTCTCTCTGTGTTCCACTTACCTTCAGTGTCCTGTGAGAGTCTAATTCTCCAAACCCTGTTTCCTCATTATCTGTCCCAGAAATTTCAATGTTTTTCTTTCTAACTCTAAGTATAACCGTCATTTTGTTGCCATTATTCTTAAATTTTCCTCATTTTTCACATGCTCCACCCATGGTATTCGCAGCTTCCTTTTGTAGGATTTAATCACTGTTGCCTCAAGTCTCATCTGTGAAGAAATTATCTAGCATTCATTGCTATATACGAGATTTTATATTAAATTGCAGTTCAGAAGTTTAATCTTTTCCTTTTAACCAATAGAATATGAAAGCAATGAGGATGTGACGATTTAGTGTACGTCGTATGAATGGTCCTAGCTTTGAATGTTTGAACTGATGAAACCAACATTATTCGGACTATTGTCCTCATCTTTGTCGCCATATTTATTACGTTTCGGCCGTTGTACGCTCCGACCTTCTTCAGGTGGTTGTAATGTCGAACTACACCCTTTATTTCGCTCACTGGGGTAGACTGTTCTAGTTCCACGTGCCATGTCAGTTATCAGTTATCTCCTGTTAATTCCCTTCTACAAGGTCTCCACTGCCTTAACCAGGTATTGAACTCACACTCTTTGGGTCCTGTCACTGGATCCAACTAACGCCTTTATCAACTGTGCCATGTTTCCTTGTGTATGAATTTTTGGCTATTATATACCTAATGTCCTCAGAAACTATTTTTTACCAGTGCGCATATTGCAATTTTTTGCTGTTATCATTGCATGTTTTTACCAGAGCCCATATTGTCATTTTTGTTGTTATTATCGCACGAGCATCTACCATGAAAATGGAAATAGAGCAGCGAGGAGATAGCAACAACTTCATCTGTGGAAAAGGACATGTGTCGTCATCGTCGTCGTCGCCTTCTCTTTCTTCTTCTTCTTCTTCTTCTTCTTCTTCTTCTTCTTCTTCTTCTTCTTCTTCTTCTCATTATTATTATTATTATTATTATTATTCTCTTCCTCCTGCCCCTTCCTTTTTTTCTCCCTCCATTTCATTCCCCAAAAAACAATTTTCACTTTTTTCTTCCTACTATTTCTTCCTTTGACTTAAAAGATATGTCGCCTGCACAGCCTTGTAGATGATTAATTGTTTTCCAGTCGACAACACTTTTTCATGGATGAAGCATTTCTAGCCACACGCTTGCTACTCTATCGCTATTTTCATGGTAGGTGCTCGGGTGAACTACAATCCTTAGAAGGGCCAAGTACACTGAGTCGAACCCATCCTAATTTCCTTCATATTCCATAAGTAAGGAGGAAATTCTCTCTCTCTAAACTGTCTTATATGGAACGGACTCCTAAAAGATGCTTCCCAATCTCTACTTTTCTTAACCTTAAAGTCGAGGGTCAACCGTTATCTAGCCAACATTTTCCGATAATATATGCCTCCTGCCATCATTTTGCAACCTTCTACATTGAGCGGCTCTTGGGCCTTGTATGAACAACAATGAAAAACTACGTATCATGTGTTTTTGCAAATTTATCATAAGTAGGCCAGAAACTTCGCGTGGATTTGTTGCTGGTTAATCTGAATCTGTTAGATGTATGACATTCAATAAGTCGACTAAGCATCTAATTCAACCTTACAATAAAATCATAAAAGATTGACGAGTCGATTTGAACCTGGATAGTCTTTCAGGCGTGTTTATGTGCATGGCTATGTACTTGCGTATGTGTATTTCGCTGTGTGTTTGAATGTGTACACAGACAGAGGGAATATGGATCTATAGCCCATTCGCTGATGAATGAACTCGCGTGTATGTGTGCGTAAGTGCGCTCGAGCTAGTTTATAGATAGAACTGCAGATTGTCAGCCATCTTTGCCGAAGACTTGCTCTTAGGCAAGGTCGGACCATTAAGCAAAGTCTCATTACGAATGGCCGAAAAAGGAAAACTAATGGAGACTTCCTCACAGCCGCGCGAAACGCTCCACGCTGAGATAAACACGCTGAAGCATTATAATCCGATGTAAAGTTCGTATTTAGTAGATCCGATTTGAGGAGCGGCCGTCATCAGAGCTATTACATACAATGCACTGAGCGACAATTAATATGTTTCATCTTGTCACAGGCGCACTTGTGGGTATGGCTCAATTGGCAGTGATGAGGAAATGGCTGTGAGGTTTAAAGTTCATCCCATCTGTCACCACAGACACTTGTCACAGGAAAGAAAACTATCGGTAAAGGAATTTATGCTTCTTTCTTCTTCTCCACCCCTACTTATTTTATTCTTTCTCTTAATTTTGTTGTTGTTGTTGTTGTTGTTGTTGTTCTTCTTCTTCTTCTTCTTCTTCTTCTTCTTTTCTTCCTTCTTGTTCTTGTTCTTCTTCTTCTCTTCCTTGTTCTTCTTCTTCTTCTTCTTCTTCTTCTTTTTCTTCTATACTTATTTTATCTTTCCTCTACATTTAGATTTTATTCCTTCTTTTTTTCCCTCCTTCTACTTTTTCATCTCTATTCCATTTATCATTCATTTCCGTTCTAATTTCACTTCTTCTTCTTCTTCTTCTCCTCCCCCCTCCTTCTTCTTCTTCTTGATACTCTTTCTTTGTTCTTCTCTGTTGCCCCCTTTTTAGCCACTCTCTTTCCTTCGCTTTTTTCTTCCTACTCTGAATATTCCTCCGCCCCCACATCCCGGGCCTCTTCTCAACATTTTCATCTCAATACCTACTTTCGCATAGTTGTCGTTCAATGTATAAAATACTTGTTTAACTAAACATAATTTCAGATTGGTTGTTATTTTATCACCGATAAACTTAGATGTAATGTTAATGTCGTTTTAGAATCAACTTTTATTCCCTAATTAATCGAGAATTAGTTTTAAATTAGTCAAAATAGGGACCCTGAACACTTATACATTGAGTTACAAGATTATATATGCCTTTACAATAAAACTCTAAAGGTTTAGATGTAAAGAAATCTTTGAATGCAGTCTTTTGTCTTAAACAATTGTCAAGATGCTTGAAAATAGTGGTCGTCAATGGGCGCGAGATCAGAGGAATATGGTGGATGTGGCAAAGTCTCGTTCTTCCAAGTTGGTGACTTTCTGGAAACGTGGCTGAGCATAGCCATAAAGCAGAATTGAACCTCGTCTATTAGTACCAATCGCATTTTTAACTGAATATTCATTTCATCCAGTTGTTGGCAGCAAATTTCGGCACGCTGCTTAGATTCCAGAAAGCTGTAGTGAATAACTCCAATGATGGGCCCTCAGACAGTCACAATAATATTCTATTGACTCAATTTGTGTTGTGGCCTGTTTAGAGGCCAGAAAGAAAGACACAGATGACGAAGGTAGGTTGAAAAAGTATATTGAAGATATATACAAAACAATAGTGTTAGTAATAAGTAGATTAGCACTGCGTCTACTACTCCACTTCCCTTCCGACTCTCGCAGTTTGTATTTATGAGAGGAGGAAGAGTTCATTCTACTGTTGAAGGGTTTACCACAAAATTTTCGGTTTTGGTAAGTGTTTGGGACAACTGAGCTGATCGGTTACGATTGCGATAAGGGATCCATTTCTCATCACAAATCCATACTCGATCAAGAGATGGATCATTCAAATTTCGCAGATGCACTATTATCGAGCACACTTCAAAACATCAAACACTTTGGCGTTTACGGAGTTCAGGTAGAATTCATTTATTGAGTGTTTTACCTTAACACTTTTCTTAAGAGGGCTTGATATTGTTGAAATGCGGATACCCATTATCTGGGACATTTCTCTGCTGCTTTGACGTGTGTTTTGTTCGTCTAGTGTCTTCATATGTCTATTGTCAATTGCAGATAAAAAGAGGGTTTAGAAAATTTAACACTCGCTGGATGAGAAGGCCAGGACTAGAAAGGCCAAGAATTGGCCGGAGTGAGTCGTTGGCAGGGCGGAGCATTCTGACAACGATGAATTACCTTTGCATGGGTTTTGAATATGTCCAAAACGGCGCGAATTCAAAAGAGGGTCTCGAAAGTTCTGACGCGTTGATATGCCTCCCACACCCAGGTTTTCGACCAGCTTATCACACTCGCGAATAGATGCTGAGCCAATGTGCGACATGACTTCCCATCAGTTCTACTACTTTCTTTTTAGAATCCAAACTGGTAGGGTTAATAAAACGAATACCAAAAATAAATGAGCCTTTTATTTGATACCGTTTTTTTTTTAATAGCGTGAGGATTCCGAGACGACACCAAACGCAACAGGGAAACGTTGAAGGCAAGAGGGACAGAGGAAAACAGTGAATAACCTACTTAATGAGCTTGTGTAAATGGTTGACAGAATGACGATTAGGGTTAAGGTATTACGAAGACAAACGCTACTAACAGCTACAAAGGACAGAAATTGGTGAAGAGTCAATTAATTCATGACTTTTAGTATGTAATATGACAGAGAAGTTAATCCTGCGAGATACAAACTGAAATGCCAGCTGTCCTTGTTCCTCTTTGTAAATTGTCGTTTTGCCAAAATAAAAATTAAATTTAGTCTTCTGTTTGCCTTCAATACTCAAACTAACTAAGCCTATCCCCTGTTCGCTTAAAACCTAAACAAGAATACGCCTCGAGGTTATACGGCTTGACAGTATCATTCGGTTTTATTTAGTTTGCATCCTGTGCAGCCATTTGCAAATTTGTTTCGCTAATGTTTTTCATTTGTCTTCTCAAGAATCAACGGTTATACAACAAATCACAGCGATTGAATAAAACATGTCAGGCAGAGAAATTGCTAAAAACTTTAGAACTCCAGGAAGAGAATAAAAATGAATCTCTGGCATTTCGTAGCTTTAAGCAATTTTTTTACGCAAAACGGAACTATCTTTTAATCACAGCTAATAATTCTAATAATTTTTTAGGAAGATATTTCTGAAGGCTCTCCGCATTTGTTTAAGTACGGAACTAAATTTCTTGTCGATTTTCTTGAATAATTTATTTTTAGATATCCGGTGAGACATCCTTTGGCAAAACATTTGCCCAAAAAGTCCACACTGTAATTTTTTTTAAATCAAAATGTTCCAAATTTTCATTTGGAAAGACTGGCTCAGTCAACATCTTTGTAAACTTCTAAGACAATCAAAATACTTGCGAAAATTCTTGATTCAAAATTTAATAAGAAACTATTCATTTTTTAAATCATATCACCCCATGCAGAGCAATAAAGGCACTAAGACACAAGGGAGTACTGAATGTAAAAGAATGATTAAAAAGAGAAACATTATTAAGGAGTGAGAACAATAGAAGAGCAATCATGAAGACAATAGATAACGATTAACACTGCATTGAAATTTTTGAAGATCAAAATTGGCTGGAAAAGACGGAACTGAAAGAGAGTTTCACAAGTGCGAGAAAAGAAACTGTTAGCATAGAACTTACGGTTTAACGGTGAAGTGATGAGACCTTGCAGACAATCTAGTACTGCGCTTAATTTTCGTAAAACCTAAGCACCAGAGCGAAGAATTCATCAGAAACATTACCATGAAAGTATTTATAGAAAAGACACATGAAATATACATTACGGCGGTGGTAAAGTGACTCAAGTCGAGATGCCAGGTCAGGACCAATAACATTGCTGATTCTACTTTGGATTTTATCAAGAATCTCTAAATAAACGGCGGGAACACGAGACAATTTATGAAGATATGTTGTGAGTAGAAATGTGGACTTACTTTATAACCCATAGAATTCATGTAAATAACGCGTTATATGGACGTGTGGCCGAGTGGTTAGAACGTGCACTTTCTGACCTTGAGGCCCGGGTTCGAATCTCACCACGGTTGATTTGTCAGGAAGGAGACTTTATTGGTCTAGAGGGGGACGCTCCCAGAATGCAGCACCTTTGGAAAGTGCCTAAAACCATCGTGGCCGAGGGTTTGTTCAAATTGTTGATCACGCTAGATAACACGCTCTCTCCCAGAAACTGTAACTAAGGTCTGCACAGCATAGTTGCAGTATAAATCCCTGATTGACACTGTGGGTAATGAACGAACAAAAATGTACCTGACGATTGCATCTAGCATGTCGCCTCTAAGTGTTGACTTCTATGTTCACTTTTATATTTACACACGCTCTATCTCTGATATTGAGCACTTTATCCAATAAATATAGCACATCATAAGACTATATTTCTTTTATATATATATATATATATATATATATATATATATATATATATATATATATATATATATATATATATATATATATATATATATATATATATATATATATTACTTATTATAAAACGCAGATTCTGTGTGTGTGTACGTTTATATATTGGATCGGATTTCCTACATTTTTCAACCGATTTCAACAAAACTTCACAGGACTACGTAAAATTACCTTTCGGTGGTTCTGACAGCGCCAAAAATTGGAAAAACACAATTGATTTTGCACGGAATCAATTTGAAACACGATTAACAGGCATTGATGAAAGGGGGACAACTCATATCGAGTTATACTTATTAATAGCGAGGTATCGAGTTATACTTATTATAAAACCCAGGTGTGTGTGTGTGTGTGTGTGTGTGTGTGTGTGTGTGTGTGTGTTCGTTTATATATGGGATCGGATTTCCTACATTTTTCAACCGATTTCAACAAAACTTCACTTTTTTTTGGCAGGTAGTGTTTCTTATTGTCTTGCACTTTTTTTTTCTTTATTTTTACATTCAGAATGCTTTAAAATTCCATTTACAAGACAATTGTTTATAATAAAATTATATTCAATCGGTAGACTCATAACGATTGAAAACAATGTTTTTGTTTGAGTTTGAGTTTGACCAATTCGTAAAAAAAAAACTAACAAAACAAAAAAAAAACTAAATAAGACATGTGTGTCCGTCAACCTTAAACAATAATCTTTGTCAATTTTATTTTTCAGTCTTTATGATGGTCGATACTTGATCTATCTCTTATTGTTACATTCCCGGGCAACGCCGGGCTCTACTACTAGTATATATATATATATATATATATATATATATATATATATATATATATACATATATATATATATATATATATATATATATATATATATATATAAGGATAAATATATAATTTTGTATAATCTTTTATATCAACAAACAGTATTTAGAAAAATATGACAAATTCCAGTGTATCATATTTATATATACAAAAACCCTACGTACATCTCCTATCTCTTTACTTCCCCCTTTTTTCTTTTTCCCTTTTTTTCTCCTTTTCCTTTTCCCATATCATTTCCGTTGAGTTGATCGATTAAATACGTGAATGTCTGATCCTTACCCTCCTCCTTCCTCAATATTAAGTATTATAATAAAAAGAAATATAAAAATAAATTTTCAAACTCTCATTTTACCTCTCTAAACACGACGATGTCTCTCACACCATTCCTCACCACCTTCTATAAGCTTAATACTGCCCGTCAAAAGCGTAAATTTTAAATTCATTTTTCGTTTTACCTTTTGAAAGTGAAGTCTGAAGATCTAGAGAAAAATAAAATTCTCTGGTGAAATAAATTATTACAAATGGAGCCTTAAAGTGGTCTGTTTTTCTTTAAATTAAATTATTTGCTCTCACTTAACATTGAGCTCTCAGGATTTCATCCTC